CCACTAAGAACAGCCGGAGGCTATCCCGGAAGAGCGCCTTTACAAATCAAAACAAGCCAGCGCTCTGGGGAGGCCAAAGCAGGAGGATCCTAACTTCAAGCCCATCCTGGGCAAGTTAGTGACTTAGTGTCTGTCTCAAAGGAAAAAGCGCTGGGGTGGAGCTCAGTGTGAAGGCCTTGCCTTCGATCCCTAGTACCACAGACAAACAAACCCTAAGACACTGTCAATGTCTCCTAACCTTTCAAATAGAGAAATACCACATAGCTTGTGTCCCCTGGAAGGAATAAAGGAACACTTGCTCCTGAATAGCCTTATACACACGCACACACACACACACACACACACACACACACACTCTTCTGCCAAGTGTCCTTCAAGCCTCTAGACCTGATGTAGGAGAAATAACACACAGGCAGAAAAAAAAAAAACAACTAAATTGCACTTTTTTGAGACAGGGTAGGACATTATGTACTCCAAGGGGGTCTTGAACTCACTGTTGGCTGGCCTTGAACTTATGGCGATCTTCCTGCCTCAGCCTTCTGAGTGTTGAGATTATAGGGGTTCCTGGTAAAAGGGGAAAAAATTGGACGTTAAAAAGACTTGGGGGAGGTGGCTCATGCCTGTAATCCCAGCACTCGGGAGGCTGAGGCAGGAGGATTGTTGCGAGTTTGAGGCCATCCAGGGCTACAAAGTGAGCTCAAGGCCAGCCTGAACTGCATAGTGAGACCCTGTCTCAAAAAGACAAAAAAAAGGGCTGGGGATTTAGCTCAGCGGCAAAAGCGCCTGCCTGGCAAGCGCAAGGCCGTGAGTTCGGTTCCCGGTACCGGAGAAAAACCAAACCAAACCAAACCAAAACAAACCAAAACAAAAGAAAGGACTGGAACTTCTGCAACCCAGTTGAAGTCACCCTGGGCATCCAAGTCTGCTTCCCTTGCTCAGTTTAACCCCTTCCCTTCTAGCCCATCGCGCTAGAACTCCTCAAGGTGCTGAAAGGCCATCAGTTGGCTGCACTGAGAAAGGAAAGGGCCGGAACCTGAGCCTGAGATAAAGCAGCAGGTTGAGAGAACCCAAGGAATGTTCAAATTACCCGATCTACAAAGAAAAAAATGCAACTGGGCCGCGCCTGTCGGCAGGCCAGAGTCCTTCTGCAGGCGGAGGCAGGAGGCAGAAACACCCCTGCTCCCAAAGGAAGGCGCCGCCGCCTCCCGCCCTCACCCTTTTTCTCAAGCGCGGGCTTTTTATTTCTTCCTGATAAAACCGTTCCGCACCCCTTACCAGCTTGCCTGAGAATTCTTCTGCTGTGGTGCAGGCAGCAAGCCCCCTGCGTCCTGATGTCGGCTTCGGGGACCCCCTGGCCACTGTTCCGTGACAGCCCGGCTCTCAAGGGCAAAGTGAGGGCCGGGGGCTCTGACAGGAGGTTAATCTGGGCCGAGACCTGGCCTGCGGTTATCATGGGCAATCCCGGGCGTGGTCAGCTTTTCTGGACCAACGAACACCCAAGCTTCTTCAACAGATTTCAAAAGGAGAGAGGGAGAGAGGCAGGAAAGGAGAGGGGAGGAGGTGAAGGGGGAGTCCGTAGATGAAGGCATTGAAAGCTGCATCAATTATATTTATATTTTACTATAATTTTTTTAAGTAGCCAGGGGTGGTGGCGCACACCTGTCGATGCAAAAGAGATATTGTCTTGGTTACTTTTCTCTCTCATTGCTGAGACAAAATACCTGATGCCCAGAATTAAGGAAGGAAAGGTTTATTTAGCTCACAGTTTATGGAGGTTTCAGTCCGTACTCGGCTGGCTCCAAGGCAGGGTGGCACATGGCAGAGGGCAACCGTTCATGGCGGCAGAAAACAGCAAAGCAACCAGAGCAAAAGGGAGGAGTGGCGGAGAGCAGGATCTTTCCCTCCCTTACATTGTGGGCGAACTCCGAGCCCCAAGGCGGGTGTGGCACTCACACCCATAATCCCAGCACTGAACTATGGATCAGTCACGAATCTAGAAGTCTGCCCTTGACGGCGTGAGGGTGTGGGGGGATATGCAGGCACAACCGTCACAGACAGAAGTACAGAAAGAGAAAACGAAGACAAGGCCTTGCAGTTGTGAACCCAAACAAGCGATGTCAGAAGGAAGTTGTGAGTTTTTACGCTTCCACTCCCCTCTGTCAGCCTCAGGGCCCCGGTTCCTGGGCGCCGCTGCCCTCTGCATCTCCATCCACACAGTGTCTCCTCCTGCATCCTCAGCCATGATCCCTCTGTGTGTCTGTGTCCAAATAAAATATCTCCCTGCCTTTCTGTTTTTTTTTTTTTTTTTTTTTCGGCACCAGGAATCGAACTCACGAACTTGCACTTGCCAGGCAGGTGCTGTGCTGCTGAGCTAAATCCCCAGGTCCTCTACGCACCTTTCTTAGTCTCACTGTGTGTTATTCCAGGCTTGTACTCACTGTGGAGCCCAGGCTGACCAAGAATTCTTGGGATCCTTCTGCCTCAGCCTCTCAAGGGCTGGAATTATAGGTGTATGCTACCATACCCAGCTTCAAAAGATAAATTCTTAATTTAAACCTAGTCCCAGCCCAAAGCAAGAGGGTCGTTAAGAACAACTCTCCTAGCTGAGCGTGGTGGCGTATGCCTGTGATCCCAGCACTCAGGAGGCTGAGTGAGGCAGGAGGATCACTTGGAGTTCAAGGCCAATCTGGGCTCCGTAATGAGTTCACAGTTATCCTGAGCTTCATAGAGAGACCCTGTCTCAAAAAGAAAAAAAAAAAAACAAAACCACAAGAACCATTCTCCTCCTGATAGCCGGGTGTGGTGGCGCACTTGGGAGGCTGAGGCAGGAGGATCATTGTGAGTTCAAGGCCAGCCTGGGCTACAAAGTGAGCTCAAGTCCAGCCTGAATAGTGAGACAATGTCTCAAAAAGACAAAAAAAAAAAAAAAAAAAAGTACTTCATTCTGCTCTGTGGGGTTACTTTGTGTTTGAGACCAAACAAATGACCATAAATGTATTATAAATTAACATTTTTAAAGAATTAAGTGATAACACGTAGCATTTTTTCTTTTCTTTCCTGTTTCAAGTCTTTTTTTTTTTTTGGTACCGGGAATCGAACTCCAAACCTTGTACTTGCCAGGCAGGTACTTATGCCACTGAGCTATATCCCCGGCCCCTTTCGAGTCACTTACTACTGGTTGTGTGTAGCTCCAGCTGGCCTTGAACTCACTATGTAGCTCAGGCAATCCTCCTACCTCAGCCTCCTGAGTACCGTGGATGGCCCCGTTCCGCTTACCACGCGGGGGCGCTGTGTCGATACCTCTCAGAAAGGGCACCTGTGGGAGGCAGCTGCTGCAACACCACGTTTGACCACGAGAGGGCGCAGCTGGACAGAACCCCCTGGAGAAGCGGGGCGTCGGGGATCCGAGGTGATAGGGATAAAGGCAACCTGCTCATTCCCAGGGCTCTGCCTCGTGTGACAGCTACTTCATGGGGTCCCCAGGCAGGGTCCGGAGCCAGAGACTCTGGGGCACCCTACTTTGCAGATGAGGACCAAGGCGTGGCGGTGGCTGTTGCGTCTCAAGCCACCGTGTTGCAAGTGATAGCTGGGGCAGGAGCTCAGCGCGGGCCCAGTGGGGTCCCCGAGCCCCCAGTCCTCGCCTTGGGGCTTGCCGGGAGCCGCTGGACTTTGGAATGCTCTGCTGAGTCAGGACTTGGGGCTCAGCGTTCCAGGACGCAGAGGCGGGCGGGGGCAGGGACGTCCTGGACTCCAGAGCCCTCGCCTCCCCCAGCGCCCTGTGCAGGCCTGGCCTAAGACGGGCTCCGAAATGGTTCTGGAAATTGCTATGTTTTGGGGGGTACTGGGGTTGAACCAAAGGCCTTTGTACTGAGCTGTATTCATAGCCCATTTTTTTTTCCAATTATTTTTTGAGACTGAGTTTCACTAAGTGGCTAAGTTGCCTAGGCTGGGCTCAAGCTTCAGATCCTCCTGCCTCAGCCTCCAGAGTGCTGGGATTTCAGGTGACACCGTTGCCCCTGGCTGTGAAATTGCTGTTCTGAGAGCCTGCTGTAGGCCAGCCCCGTCGTGTAGACTGAGGTCCCACTGGGAGGCAGCACGAGCCACAGAGCTGCCACCTGCCTCCTCAGGGCCTAGCACACTGAGTGGCTCGGCTGGGGCCCTGGGTTCAGCAGATCCCAGGGATCCACAGGTGGGAAGAGTGTCTGGAGGGTAGAGGGGCCCTCGGGGGAGGCGGGGGGCAGGACAGGTAACAAGCAGGTGCACCGAAGACACAGCCCCCAGCCGGTGTAGTGATGCACACTGTCTTCTGCGCAGTCTAGGAGGCTGAGGCAGGAGGATCACAAGTTTGAGTCCAGCTTGGACTCACAGCAAGACTGTCTCAGAATAAAAAGTGAAAAGGGGCTGGGGATGGTGGTCAGTGTGAAGGCCCTGGGTCCCACCCTCGGTGCTGAAGGAAAAAGAGCCAGGAGACCCAGGCGAGAAGCCCCGGGCCCTGGGTCTCTGCTCTCTGTACCCCTTGTCCCCAGGCTCCAAGAGGCTGTCCTGGGTCCCCACCCACACCTCTGGCCGCTGCAGGCCCCCTCTGACCTTCGCCGTCACCTGGCGCCCAGAATTTCAGACGTCCTTTTTTGTTTGTTTTGTTTTATGTTTTTGAGACAGGGTATCTCCATGCAGTTCCGGCTGGCCTTGAATTCACTATGTAGCCCAAGCTGGGCTCGAACTCACAGCAATCCTTCTGCCTCAGTCTCCAGAGAGCTGGGGTGACAGGCCGGTGCCACCATGCCTCACTGAGTAGAAGTTCCTAATCTGGCCGGTCCTCACTCCCTGGCCTGGAGCCGGTGGGGACCGCGCCTGAGCGACCCTCCCTGCACCCACAGCTTGCCCAGCCCTGGCTCCCCACGCACGGCCCACATCCGGCCCCTGCTCGGATCCTGGCCAAGCTGGCGTCCTTGGTCCCGAGGCCCCGAGGCCCACAGGGCCCTTATCAGTCAGCCCCAAGAGCCTGAGACGGGCAGCCCCCTCTCCGTGCCCTTATCAGGGGACACATTCCAGCCTGGCTCTGTCCTCCCAGCGGAGATAGAGCCCAGCTTCCGGCCCTGGGCAGGGGCGCCTGGAAGCCAGGGTTATCAGCAGGAAGCCTGCGCCTCTTTCTCAGCCGGCTGGAGAAAGCAGTCAGGCCCAGAGGTGACCGGCTCGGGGGACCTGCGCTGGGGTCGGGGGACAGCGGCCCGGAAGTGTGTGGGACCCGGCTGGGTTTCAGCCAGAGGCTCGCAAGCCTTGAGCGGTTCCTGGGTGGCCGGCTTGCCCCGCAGGCCGCCTGTCGCTGCTGTCCCAGGCCCAGCCAGGCCCTGCCGGGGACGGCGCCCGGGATGGCTGGTGAGGGGCAGAGGCCCGGGGCGTCCCCAGGCAGCGGGCAGCGAGGCTGAGGGCCGGGGCTGGCTCCGTGGAAGCTGGCTTGGATTCGAGTCAGGGCAGGGCGGGCGGCTGAGCGGATCAGGCGGCCGGGTCGGTTGGGGCCTCAGCCGAGGTGAACGCTGGCCTTTCTCACCCTTTGAGAACGGGGAGCGGACGTTCTTACTTCACGTGGCAGCGTGCACCTCGGGGCCGCACTGAGATCTCCCGGGGACCAGAGTGGGCACACGCGCACACGCTTACTGAGCCCCAGGTAGGTGGACGGCATACGCCAATCTCTCTCCTCCCTCTCGCGGCGGTGTGGGGAGTGAACCCAGCCCCTCTCACTGAGCCAGCCCCGCCTGCTCCTCCTGCCCTTCTTTACATTTCTGAGACAGCGTCTCTCTGTGCAGTGCAGGCTGGCCTTGCACTCACTCTGTGAGCTCCTCCTGCCTCAGCCTCCCCAGTGCCGGGATGACAGGTGTGCACCACCACGCCTGGCTTGGAGCCAGTGTTTGACGTCACCACGGGGCCTTGTCATCACCGCATTCCTTGCCGTTGGGTGCAGCCGTGCACTGCCTTATCTCAGAGGTGCACATTTCAACTTTTCATCTCTGGGAGTCCGCCGCCCCAACTATGGAAACAAAGAAACGAGCAAAAGTAAAATAAACAAGTGGACAAATAAATAGATAAATGGGCGAATGAATGAAGAGTCTGTGACCCACCATCAAAGACAGTAGCAGAAGCCCTGTCCTCTCCTCGGTCCGCCTGCCACACCCCACCCAGAGCCCGTGGTCTCGAACAGGCCCCAGAGCCTGGCCCTGTGTCCAGCATCCCCTGAGGGTCTGGCAGGTGGCAAAGCAGGAAAGCTTTGCTTTTTTTTTTTTTAATTTATTTTAAAAATAAAAGAAGGAAAACATATTAACAAACAGCCATCCATTTACAAAATAGCATAAGAACAATACAAGCAATACTGAACTACAGACAAAGTAGGAAACTGACAGTGGTTGTTGTGTTACGTATTGACATCTTCAAAGTGGTTGCTCAGGAAGAGCAGGGAAGCTTTGAAAAGGGACAGCAGCCAGGCTTGGGGGAGCACACCTGTCAGCCCAGCACCCAGGAGGCTGAGGCAGGATCGCTGTGAGTTCGAGGCCAGCCTAGGCTACATAGCCAGACCGTGTCTCAGAAAACAAAACAAAACCGAAACCTAAGAAGGAGGGAAGCCGGCAGGACAGCTCTAGGAAGCTCTGGCAGGCTGGAGGGGCCCGTGCGGGGCACACAGCTCGTGACGCGTTTGCACCCTGAGATGTCACGACCGGCTCGCCCAGCGGAGCGAAGTCAGGGATGGGAACAGGGTCCCGACTTCCAGCTGCACAGGCCCTGGGATTGGGGGTGCTGAGTGACGCGCCGGCCCCAGAGCCCAGAGGCGTGAGCTCCGTGCAGTGTCTCGGTCTCATGGAAGGAAGAGAAGTTCTGGAACAGGGATGCTCACACAGAGGACAGTGAACAGGCGAACGTGAGCTGGGCCCAGCGGGCAAGCGGCTGGGCAGGTGCTGGGTGCACAGTGGACCGGCCACGGCTAGGGCACGAGGCCCAGAGCATCTGGGTGGGTGCAGGGTTGGGCTCCCGTGGCAACACTGGGTCTCCAGAAGGACTTTGTGGATGTGGGTGGTGCGGGGCTAGCTTGGGGCACCAGCTCTGAGCTCTCAGGGACATTCAGGGGACAGGCAGAAGCAAAGTGAATCCTCCCGGAAGGAGAATGGCCCCAGGTCAAGGTCAAGCCATGACCTTGAGGACAAAAATGAATCCACACAAAGACAAGTCTGCAGTCACAAGAGGGGCCAAGAACTGCAGTCCCGAAGCGCAGTTTCAGGATGGAGAACAGCCGTCTCCCCTCTGTCACGAAATAGGGCTACTGGGAGGCTGAGACAGGAGGATCTCAAGTTTAAGGCCAGCCCAGGCAAGTTAGTGACTTAGTGAGACCCTGTCTCAAAAAATTAAGAAAGGCTGGAGATTTAGCTCTGTGCAAAGGCCCTGGGTTCAATCCCCACTGCTGCAAAATAAACACATAAACAAACAAAGGGGGCCAGGGATATAGCTCAGCAGCCCCTTCCCACCGCCTCATCCAGGTGCCCCTCCCCCCTTCTGACGCAGGAGCCAGCGGGTTCTCAGGGCCACCTGATTGCTGAGTTTCTAACTCCATCCCGTCTCTAAGCCTGGGGTCCAAATGCAGCACCTTCTGAGGCCACGGCCTCCTCACCCTGGGGACCGATTCAGCTCTTTTTTTTTTTTTTTTGAGACAAGGTGTTGCTACGCAGTTCAGGCTGGCCTTGAGCTCACTGTGTAGCCCAGGCTGGTCTCAAACTTGCAACGATCCTCCTGCTTCAGCCTCCTGAGTGCTGGGATTACAGGCGTGTGCCACCACACCTGACTGATTCGGCTCTTAATGGTCTTTTGTTGTTGTTTTTTTCTGAGGCAGGGTCTCCCTCTGGACACCAAGCTGGCCTGGAACTCATGGAGATCCTCCTGCCTCAGCCTGTAGTATTCCCGTGCTGGGATGACAGGTGTGTGACACCACGCCAAGCCCTTAATAGTCTTCTTAGCACAATACTTAGAAATGGGAAACATGGAATGAATATAAATTTTTACAAGCAGTGACAATGGACATGTGGGTTAAAACTTCCATCTCATTCTTTTTTTTTGGTGCCTACCAGGAATTGAACTCAGGACGTTGTGCTTGCCAAGCAGGCACTGTGCTGCTGAGCTACATCCTTGGCCCTTCTGTCTCATTCTTTTACCTGCTGGACAAAGACTGAGTTGATGGATGTGTCCGGAGATCTTTGTGGGAGCACAGCAGGTCCTCTGTGTCCCTGGACTCTGAATTCTGGGCTTCAACCAGCTGAGGATCACAAACAGTAAGGCTTGCCAGGTGTAGTGGTGCACACCTGTCCTCCTAGCACTTGGGAGGCTGAAGCAGGAGAATCTCTGCGAGTTGGAGGCCAGCCTGGCCTCCAACATAGCACGACCCCGTCTCAAAAAAAAACAAACAATACATCTACATTTTTACAAATGCAGAGAAGTAAATGCCTGAGAGGAATAACCAAAGTATTTCACTTTTGTTTTTCCTGCATGTTCTATTTTTTTTTTTAATAATGAAAATTCATTCTTGTGTAACCCAAAAACACAATCATCAGAGACACAGATGATTTCACCCTGTTCCCGCCAGGATCCCAGGAGACTCACTGCACAGCTGCCGGGTGGGGCCGGGATGAGAATCTTCCAAGGAGGGGAGAGGAGGGGCGGGTCACACTCAGGGCAGGCTGTGTCCCCAGCCGGGCCCCGGCCCCTACCCTGTCCTGCAGCCCCTTCCGGTCAGGGACCTGGGCAGCGGCTAGGATGCCCGGCCCCACCCACCCCTATGCACCCAGTGGGACCCCATCCTCCCACCTGGACGGCAGTGCAAGGTGTGCTCTGGGCCCCTGTTTCCTGGGGACCCGGCCTTTCCGCCAGCCAGGCCCCTGTGTCCGTCCAGGCCAGCTCTGAGAGGCAGTGAGGGGCGCCCAGGCCGCAGCCGTGGGTGAATTACCAGGGGGAAAGGGGGGCTGGGAAGTCCTTCTGGAACCGTGGCTGGGTCTGGGGACCCTGACCCTTCAAGAACTGGCGTGTGTGTGCACACACGGAGAGACACACACAGACACACGCCAGTGCACACACAAACACGATGTGGTAGAAAACTGTGGTGGAAGTGCTTACATCTGAAAACGTATCACGGTGAAAAACACGCTGCCAGGCGTCCCCTCGACATCCTCGCCCTCACGTGGGGCACACTCATCCCGTCATCCCGGCTGCTTCCTGCAGCCGCTCTGGAATCCTCCTTCCTGGCTGTTAGGTGCATTGTGGTGGCTCCCTTGACCTCCTGAATCGATTCGAAACGTTTCCCTTGCCAAGCATGGTGATGCTCGAATGTAATCCCAGCACTGGGGGGCGCTGGGGATTTAGCTCAGCGGCACAGCGCCTGCCTGGCAAGCGCGAGGTCGTGAGTTTGATTCCCTCCCGGTACCGGAAAACAACAACAACAACAACAACAACAAAAAGTACCAGCACTGGGGAGGCTGAGGCAGGAGGATCGCTGTGAGTTCTAGACCAGCCTGGGCTACAAAGTGAGTTCAAGGCCAGCCTGAACTACACAGGTAGACCCTGCTTCCCCCCGGCAAAAAAAAAAAAAATAAAAGTTTCCCTTTCACGGTCACATTGACTTTGGGGCAGAACCGGAAGTCGCAGGGTGCCAGGTCTGGTGAATAAAGTGGAGGAGGACACACCACAACGTCGTCATGAGCCTGCCCTCTGGGTGGCGCTCGGCAGCAGGTCACACCCCGTGAAGACCCTCAGGAAAGAGGACTCCAGAGCTGCTGCAGACAGTGGCAAGGACGACGGGATGAGTGTGCCTGAGGAGAAGGGGAGGGTTTTGAGGGGGATTTGTGTGACATTTTTAGGGTTTAACTCTTCACCATACACTCCGATCACTCCTCGCTCGAGTCAGGGTCACATAGTGCAGGACGCTCCATCGAACGTGAACTTCAGACCAACGAAGTTTCCCAGCGGGTGGTCCCACGCCGCACCCTGCCTCTGAGCGGTACCCTGGTTCTCTAACTTGATTCGTTTCACGATTCTGAGGAAGATGGCCACGCTCCTGTTCCTCATCCAATACAGAGGAAGCAAGGAAGCTACATTCTGATGACCGCTTCTGTTCCTGAACTGAATCGTTTTCGAGCAGAAGTGTTCAGGAACCGAGGTGTTAGTGCACTGTGTTTGCTAAATCTGACGTGGATACGAGGATACATATAAACATGCGTGTGCAAGAGCATGCTCAAGCAGGAGCATGCACACAAGCGCAAGAGCACACATTTGCATGACTGTGCAAACGCGTGCAAGCCCTGAGTGTGTAAATATGCGCATGTGCGCGTGTGCCCCGGAACGAGTCACAGGTTTTCCTGTGTGTGGGAGCGAGCGCAATCTTGCGTAGTTTTATACCGCAGTGCACCCGTGGGTCTGTGTCTGCGGCTCCAGGCGTGCGGAGGAAGCACTCGGGAGGGGCGGTGTAGAGAGGCTCTGTGTGTGCCTGTGGTTGTGTGCACGCACGCACGTGTGCAAACCCACAGGGCTCCCGCAGGTGCCCTTTCACGTCAGCTCCGGAGGGCGCTATCCCGCCCCGCAGCCTCCCCTGCCTGCTGTGCCCCTCGCACGGGGAAGGTCAGCCAACCCGCTGGGCGGGGCCCGGCCTCGTGCGCGCGCACGCGGTTACGTAACGCTGTGGCCAAGGCAGCTGCCAGATGTTCCATTGCCTCCCGGGCCAGATGGCGGCGGATCTGGGCGTCCCTGGCTTTCCCAGCTCCTGAGCCTTCTGGGTTTTCCCTGTGCAGGGAAGGGCTGGGGACCGGGGTGTGAATGGCAGTAGTTGACACAGCCTGGGAGAGGGAGCTCCAGGTGCCATGACCGTGTCCTCCGGGCTGTGTATGCCGTGAGCTCCAAAGCTGCCCCTCTGCACCTGCCCGGCCTGCCGCAGCCTGGCACTGCCCTACCCAGGCGACAGGGGCAACCAGGTGACCTGGTAAATCTACCTTACTCTTTCTCCAGACTTCTACTTTTTAAAAATTTTTTTGTTGCTTGGAGACAAGGTCTTGCTATGCAGTTTATTCTGAACTTGGACTTACTATGTAGCCCAGGTTGGCCTCAAATTCAAGATCTTCCTGCCTCAGCCTTCTGGGATCACAGCTGTGTGTCACCCTGCCTGGCCTTTTTTTTTTTTTTTTTTTTGGAGAGAGGATCTCACTATGCAGTTCAGGCTGGTCTTGAACTCACTTTGTAGCCCAGGCTGGCCCTCGAATTTGCAATGATCCTCTTGCCTCAGCCTCCTGAGTGCTGAGATTACAGGCCTGCGCCACCATGCCTGGCCCTGCCTGGCTTGTAATCTCCCTTCCTTAAGGACATCAGCCAGTTTGGGGCTGGATCCACGCAAATGGCCTCATTTTAACATGGCCACCTCTTTAAAGACTGGGTCTCCAAACATAGCTGCATCCGTAGGCACAGGAGTGACGGCTGAGGCTCTGACAGGGGCGCCAGCCTCTAGGAGCAGCCGTGGTGTCTTGGGTGCCTCCCCTGAGGTCACTAGGCTGCAGCAGGTTCCACAGGGATCTCAGCCCTGGGGGCGCCTTCATCCGTGATCACAAGAGCCCGGAGCTTAAAGCAGCACACATTCCTGTCCCGGTGTCCCGGAGGCTGGAAGTCTCTTCCAGAGGCTGGCGTCCCCTTCCCAATCTCAGGCCTCTGCCTTCCTAGGCTCAGCCCCTCCTCCATCTGAGCGCACACACCTGTAATCTCTAGCTCTGGGAGGCTGAAGCAGGACAATCCCAAGTTCAAGGCCAATCTGGGCAACTTAGTGACTTAGGAGACACTGTCTCAAAGGAAAAAGTAAAACAAGGGCTGGGGGAGTAGCTCAGTATAAAGGCTCTGGGCTGCATTCCTGTCTCTCTGCTCTGCTTCCTGGATCCCGCTTACTGGTGACAGAGGCGACCCTGCCCCCGCACCCCTCCTCACCCCGCCCCTGATCTTGAGGCTGGTTCCTGGCACTGGTCCCTTCCTTGGAGCTGGTGGGGACACACCCCAGGGACCTCCTTCCCATGACACAGTAGCAGCAGTGACCGGGAACCAGGATGCCTGAAGCCTCGCAGTTGCTATGGAGACTGAGCAGGGTCCTTCAGGGAGCCAGGACCCTTCCATTCCTCGGTGACGGCAGCATTGTCCTCTCTCCCAGGAAAGCCAGTCTCCGGGGGATGAGGACGGAGCCTTCCCACTCCCCTGTGCCCAGCCAGCAGTCCAGGGAGCCATGGCCAGAAGTCAGGTGTCTCTGGGTCCCCGCGATGTCAGGGTCCCCACTCACCGACCCTCTGTCTGCCCGAGCTCGCATGTGCCTCTCAGTGCCGAGGGGGGCAGGGGGTCCCTTGCCAGGTGGCAGTGGCCGGAGCACCTCGTGTGGGACCCAACCCCGGATATCCTCCCTGACCCCCAAGCGGGGCAGCTGAGGGACAGAGGCCCAGCGGCCCTAAGGGTCAGAACTTGAAACTGGGTCTGCCAGGTGCCTGGGGGGACCCTCCCCCTAACTGCAGCCTGTGACCTCACCTCAGTGTAGAGCCAAGGCCTGGGGAGTTGTGCCAGGCCAGGGTGGCCTGGCTGTGTAGTCTTTTTTTTTTTTTTTTTCCAGTACAGGGAATCGAACTCACGACCTTGCGCTTGCCAGGCAGGCGCTGTGCCGCTGAGCTAAACCCCAGCCCCCCTGCTGTGTAGTCTTGTCAGGATCCCACAGGCGCAGGCCAGAGCCACCCTCAGCCATGACCCAGCGGCCGGGTGCCATGGAGGGCAGGCTGGGGCTGGGATGGGATTGGAGGAGGAGGCTGGGGACCTGGGAAACTCAGGAGCAGCACCCTGTCCGGGGTGAGGGAGGAGGGCGAGGTTGGCTGGGTCCAAGAGGAGTGATTGGAAAATACGGTGTGTGTTTAAATTAAAAAAATCATTTCAGTAAAAGATACATTGCCAGGAATCCCCTCAAAATCCCCTCCTTCACTTTAAGCACACTCCCCCATCGCCCTCGCTGCTTTCTGCAGCAGCTCTGGAGTCCTCTTTCCTGAGGGTTGTCAGCTGTCCTGTTGTGGCTGCTTTGATGTCCTTTCTTTGCTTTCTTTTTCTGTGTCCTGAAATGTTCCCCTTTCACGGCTGCCTCGACTTTGGGGAGGGGCCAGAAGTGACAGGGGGTCGAATCCAGTGAACAAGGTGGATGAGGACGCAGGGTCACGTTTTCACAGCCCTGCCTTTCTGTTGGACGGAGCTCAGCAGCGTTCACTGCATTTCTGATCACACCTCATGAAGACACTCGGGAAAGAGGACTCCAGAGCTGCTGCAGGAAGCGGCACGGATGATGGGAGGAGTGCGTTCAAAGCAAAGGGGAGGACTTTCAGGGGAATTCATGACAATGTGTCTACGTTTTTTTGTCTGTGTTTTTGGTTTTCTGAGCTAGGGTCTCACTACTAGCCCAGACCAGCTCTGAAGTTGCAGGGATTCTCCTGCCTCAGTCTCTCGAGTGCCAGCATTACAGGCATGCGCCGTGACACTCAGGTACACAAACTGTATTTTGCCCCCGTTGCTGCTCGGGGGAGGGAGGCGTGGGCGGGGCGCGGGCACGGTGGGGACTGACTGGTTGAGCCGGGTGGACCAGGCCTCGTCCCTGCAGTGCCCAGCACCCACCCCGAGCAGAGGCAGCAGTGCTGCGACCCTGTGACGGACGAGGGGCACAGACTCCATGTGGACAGCACCCTTGGGTCACAGACAACCCCTGGGGACCACCGCCACGCCTCTCTGACAGATCACAATGGGGTCCAGGAGGGGCCATCAGACCCGAGCCAGCAGGCACTTGATCTCTCCCACAGGACGTGGCTTCGAGACCCCATCCTTCAGGGGCCCCCAAATCCTAAAGACACCCGTCCCCTACTCCCTGCATAGGCAGGACCCCTGGGGACCCATGCCCCTGCTAGGAACATGGACCCTGGGGGCAGAAGGCTGTCTGTCCTCAGCGTAGCTAGCTGGGGTTGGTGGTACGGGCCTGCAAGTCTAGCACTCTAGGCGGCTGAAGCAGAAAGATCCCAAGCTAGAGCTCAGCCTGGGCAACTTGGTCTGAGACCCTAAACTCATTCTTCAGTAATGCCAAAAAAAAAAAAAAAAAAAGGCAGAAGCCTGCCGCAGCCCAGCGCTGGCTGACAGACTCCGGAGAGCGGGGCGTGGGGCGGAGGAGCACCTGGGAGGAGCGAGCGCCCGTGGGCAGTGCCGGGGGCGGGGAGCCGCAGGCCGCAGAAGCCGCCAGGAATGAAGATCGGACGCTGGGTGCTTCCATCGCGCTTCCTCTGGGCAGGCGGGCACAGAAAGCGGCACCCCAGCTCTGCTGGGCGCAGCAGAAGGGAAGCTGGGAGCCTGAGAGACCCTGTGGTCCTTGCTCCCGGGACGCAGCACGGTGACGCTGTGTGCACTGAGGCACCCTGGACGCGGGCGCCGATGGGGAACAGCCGGCCGTGGGGAGCTGCCTGAGGGAGGGGCAGGCGGCCTTGCCGGCCCCCTGCGGCCCCTCCGGCTGGCCTGGCGTTCCTGCCTATGAGACAGGCACACTCACCGCCAGCATCACAGTGGCCACTCGCCCTTGGCAACACCCAGCTGCCCGGCCCCTGGGACACTTCCGGGGAGCAGAAGCTGGTACACCCGGAGCACGGGCTGGAGCTGGAGCGAGGGGCCTTTGGCTCCCCGGTCCCCGTCTGCCGTATCACAGTGCCGGCCTCAGGGCAGAGCAGCACGGCCTGAGGCTGGAAGAGCCCCCAGCGGCCACCTCGGGAGAAGGGGCCGAGCACCCCGTCCCGGGAAGGCCAGGAGCAGGCCAGCCTGCACCCGTCACCCCAGCCGGTGCCACCCCGGCGCTGCGTGGGGCTGGATGCATCGGCCGCTCCCCGCAAAGCTAGAAACACACGCGTGTTCGCCTGGCGGCCTCTGTATTGTCACACGAGGTGCGCGTCTGCACAAGGCTGACCCCTCAGGGCACGCAGAGTTGGGGCCCTGGGCCCTGGGCAGCGGTTCCTCGGGGGAAGGCGCCTGTAGTCAGTATGTTCAGGAAGCTCGGGCTACACGAGCTCGGGCGCCAGCAGAGTCTGCAGCTGCGCCCAGAGGGGCTGGACCACACAACCCCTGGTACTGGGGGCACCTGTGGGAAACCCTGCTGCCCTAAGCCCTTAAGGGCCAGCCATGGCCTTGGTGCCCACGGGCATCGAGGTGAGGACGGCCAGGATCTCAACGGCCACGACCAACCGCCACCACAGTGCGACAAGACCCAGCCCCTCCCGCCACCGTCTCGGCCTCACTGGCCGTCCCCAGGTGGAAGCCGAGACACGGTGGGCCCTGGCCCCTCAGAGGAGACCTGGAGTCTGAGCAGAGGGGCGGGGGCTGGGCACTGGCAGCCGTGCCCGCTCCTGGGGCTGCCTGAGTCACTGGCCTCCAGCCACGTTGGAGAAGTTGAGCTGGCAGGCTCCAAGCCTGGGGTCGCCCGGCCCCGGCCCCACCGAGGCTGCTGCCGCCCCCTCAGGGGCCGCCGGGGCGGGCGGCTGCCAGCGCCTCACCAGGCAGAGATGAGCATCTGGCAGGTGTTGGAGGACATCCAGACCAGCTCCACCAGGCGGAACTGGAGGTAGCCGATGGCGAAGCCTGAGAGGACGTCGGTGATGTGGTGGCGGCCGATCATGACCCGAGACAGCCCCACGCACAGCGCCCAGAGCACCAGCAGGACGCGCAGCGGCACCGCCAGCACCAGGTGGCTGAGGAAGAACTTGGACACCATGGCCGCGCGGCTGGCGTGCCCGGCGGGGAACGCGTACAGGTCCATGGTGAGGTAGTCCAGCAGGCTCGGGCTCGTCTCGTAGGGCCCCCGGCGCTTGATGAGCTTCTGCACGCCCGCCACCGTCATGATGTCCAGGAGCAGGGCTGCGGGCGGGACAGAGGCCGGGGCTGTCAGAGCCAGCAAGCGGGCCCCGCTCCCCCCACCCACCGCCCTCCACCTTCAGCTCCACCCCGTCTGCCGCTCACCCTGCCGCGCCAGTGCCTGTGCACCTGCAGTTCCCACCCCCTGGGTGCTGGGCCCTGTGACACCCACTGGCCCCCAGGGAAACCCTGCCCTCAGGAAGTGCCCAGTCTCCCCCGCCTGTCCCAGCCACGTCAGCCACCAGTCTGCTTCCTGCCTCTAGGGATTTGCCTTCTCTGCACATTTCCTATGAATGGAGTCAGGTACTAAGTGGCCCTTTGGGTCCAGCTTCCTGCCCTTGGCCTCTAACATTTCAAATTTCACCCATGCAGCAGGTGGCTCAGGACCATTCATTTTTCCTGACTGAGTAATACTCCACAGGGTGTCATCCGTGGGTGGACACAGGGCGGTTTCCACCTGGGCCCATTGCTAATAATACTGCAGCTGTGGACCCTGGTGCATAGGGTTTCGCCTTCTGTTCTGGGCTCTTCCTTAGCGTAGGATTGGGAAGTCACATGGCAGCTCTTGGGGTAGCCATGGTGACTTGGTCACCCATGAGGTCCAGCGCCTGTCGGGCCTTCTGCAGGGATGGCACAGGTGACCCCACAGTGTGGGTGGCAGCTGTGTGACTGTGGACAGGTCACCTGATTTTCCTCTCTGAGGTCACTTGTCCCCTACATGGGACCAGGTCCAAAGCCCACAGGTGATGCCGGGCGTGGTGGTGCATGCCTGTAATACCAGCTCTTGGGAGGCTGAGGCAGGAGGATCGTTGGGAGTTCGA